CATGTTTGAGCAGTATCTGTATATCATATTTCCTGTGTCTTTTTGCTTGGTTTTTTTTTTTTTTCAGGAGGAAGAAACCGTGCACCAGCTAGAATAAGTTACCAGGACTGGTTCCACCACCAGTCTGCTCCCTCCATCCGCATTTGAGAGCCCTCAAACACAGCCACATGACAGAAACAGGAGGAAAAACTCCAAATAACCTACCCCCCCAAAGGCCTCATTTTCAGGAGGAGAGCAGGCAGAGAGCCTGGGTTCATTGCAGTGGCACCCAACAACAACCTGCCCACCCAGGTCAGGAATTGAGTTCTCTGCTAAAGTCAAATCAGCGTCCCCAGTCAGACATCGGGATGGTGTGGAGGCACGCTGCTCCCCATGCCACGCTGGCACTGGCTGCCTACCTCCCCACTACTGCAGACCCAGCTCAAACCTGCAAAAAAACCCTGAGTTTGGGCTTAAAAAGTTGCGTGTGTCAGCAGGGAACTGCTGTGCTTGCACTGGTTATTTGTGTACATACATGAGTTGCACAACACTTGTATATGTATCTGTATATGCACAGACAAGTACGTGCCTCTTGCAGTAAGTACCTTAACACTCAGGCACTCATTTTATTTTAGAAAAAGAAGACTTTGAAAGTTTTCGCACTATAGTGAACCTACTTTTTGCTCTGCAGGTGAAACAGCATCGGGTCTGGGACAGGAGAGGGCAGGTGCTCCCTCTGCTCCTCAGCTCCAGATTCAGCTCCTGTTTTCAGAAACCTGATGCCTTCTGCTAAAATGAAGCACCAGCTCTTTGCAGCTTTGTATTTCAGGGTGTGAAAACAGAAAAAACCTGAACTGCAAACCACTTGCTCACTCTGCAGCATTAAGGTCTCCATAGCGAGCTCAAGGGGTGCAGTACAGATGGATACTAACGCTTGCACTTTACGTGTCATCCTGTGGTGCCTGACTCCTTGGGGTAGTGTTGGGGGGACCACAAAACTCCCAGGACTAAAGTGCATGGCAGTAAAGGGAGCTGGAAGAAAGATTTCCTTAGAGCATTCAAAAGGTTTGTAATAGTTTGGGGTTTCACCGATATCAGAAGCTGTTCTCCCACGGTTGAGACGTTTCTTTTGTTCAGATTGACGGCAGCGGTGATTCCGTCAGAGGTTTTTCCTCTCCATTGAAAAGCGCAGAAAAATGCAATCAAACTCTTCCGGCCTCACCGCGCACTTCGCGAGGAGCGGTTCCCATCACAGAAATCCACCACAGGGAGCACAGAAAGGACAATCCCATCAAACTGCTTCTTCCACAGATATTCCCATTTTGCTAAAGACAAACGGCAGCCAAAGAGAAGCCCTGCAGCCGGCTGCAGTGCTCAGCCCGCCATGGGAAG